GTATATGAGAATAAGAATGTCAACCCAATAACCCATAATCCATATACCAATTTCCAACTTAAATTAATGGTTCTTGAGTTTTGAAAATGTGTCACAAAAAATACAATTGAAAGACTGTGATACGACTTGGATTGGTATCAGGTTGAACCCTGTATGTTTAGGTGGGTCGGATGGATTTAACTCAACCCTAACCCAACCCTCCCATGCTTCCACTCAAACCTAACCCAACCTGATTGAATATTATGCAATTTTTGAACCTACCCTAACCTATAGGGTTCAAATCGATATCGACGCAACCCGGTCTTATAGTCTTTCAATTGTATTTTTTATGATACTTTTCGAATACTCAAGAGCCATTAATTTAAATTTAAAATTAGTTTATAGGTTCCAAGGTTTTGCAAACAAATCATATATTTTAAGGTTAGAGATTAGAAGTCAGACCAAATTACAAGATTACCCACCCAATGGGCAGGGGTTAGCCAAACCCGAACCCGGTTTTGGTTAAATTATTAAAACTCTAACCTAAACCTACACTCAGTTTGGGTTAAAACAAACATTGAACGAAAATCACAAACTTTAAGTTAGGGGTTAGAAGGCATACGAAATTACAAGAACACCCTTTATATGTGTATGGTATTATGATTTATGACTTGATGGGCCAAATCAGACAAAACTGCACTTGATTTTGGTTGAATAATCAAAACTCTAATCAGACCCTACACCCTAATAAGCCTGACCCTAACCTAACCATGTATGGGTGAATTAAGTTGAATTTACTGTTTAACTTGACCCATTGGCATCGTTATATGAAATTAGCCATTCTCACTAGGGATTCAATTTGGATTGTGGTTAGAACAACTAAACTTAACTAAAAAAAGTATGATACTTGAACTCGCTTGGATTGAATTGACTTAATTAGAAACGTCATTAGGCTCTTTCTACTTCAACTTTGCATAACAAGGCTTGTGTATTTCACAGGTCCCAACTAGTTGTTAATTAATTTTGGTTTTCTTCACCCACAACCATTGATTAATTTCAAATGGACTTATTAATTTCTTGGCTTCTATCTCATGTTAGGACAAGATGAAAACAATTAGTAAGGTCTGTGACATATGGGTCTTGGGCCCAGACCTAATATAAGGTTAAAGTCCAAGCTTGCCAACCTAAAGTGGGTTTGGACAGTCTTGGGTGGGCAATTCAGGTTTGGGGGTCTTTTACCTTTTTATTTGAGAACAAGTGATGTTTTTTCTTTGAATTTTAATTTGTTTATTTAGTTATATATAATCATTTATTTTATTTTTCATATATCATAATTACCTAAATACTATAAATATTTTATGATTTTTTGTTAAATTTTCAGTGGTCCTCTAAGCTTTTTTTATTAAGGCTCTGTTTGGAAGGAGTACAAATACAAATATGTAGAGTGCAAAATCTAGTATTTTGTATTTGTTTGTACTGTACGTATTTGCTTTTGTACTCATACCAATTTTTTTATTTATACTATTGCAAGTTGAATGGTCCCTCTTTGACTTTTTGACTATACTGAGCCTAATTGTTATATTATTTTATTTGTACTCTTTCATAAGGGATTAAGGAATGATGAAATTGAATCCCTCTTTGACTTGCTTTGTTGCCTTAATCAAGTTTGTTTGGATCCCTCCAAACTAGACAAAAGGGTGTGGGCTCCTAGGCCCAAAGGGACCTTTACTTGTGCTTCTTCAAGTCCATATCTTGGTCTTTTGTCCAACAACTTTTCCTGCCAAAAGAAATTTGATTCCCCCAAAGGTTATGGCTTTTTATTGAAAAGTGTACTATGAAAAAGTAAACATTCTAGATACCTTACAAAAGAGAAGATCTTTCCTCTATATTTCTTCCAACTAGTGTAACCTTTGTAGAGCTCATGGGGAAGATTGTTACCATATACTATATTATCTTGTCCATTTTCTGCAGACCTATGGGCTTGGTAATTATTCTTGTTGTTTAGGAGTAGTTGGAGCTTATCAACAAAAGTTTGCATAATCTTTGACCTCTCTACTTTCTCTTGGCCTACAAAAAGAGGGAGAATTATGTAGAGATGTGCTCAAGCAGCCCTGATTTGGATGTTATGGGAAGAAATGAATGATATAATTTTTAAGAGAAGGAAAAGGAGCAATCAAGAACTGAAAGGCTATGTGTTGCATAGGGCAATACTTTGGTTGAAGACTTTGGAAATTTTTCACCAATTATCACATAATGACTTTTAGAGAAACTGGTCAATAGTAGTGAGGTGTTCTTCCTTTAAGAACAAGATAGTTACAAGGTAGTATCCTCCGTTTGAAAGCTCACCGAAGCTAAATTTTGATGGAAGTAGCTTGGGTAACCTAGGGTTATTTGGAATGGGAGAGTGTTTTGAGGAATGAGATTGGAAGATTGTTTTGCTTTACTCGGGTCTTTTAGGATTCAGAGATTCTATTAGGGCAGAGCTATTACCTTCTGTACAAAGGGTGCAATTTGCAAATCAATTGGGGTAGAACATTTAATAATTGAAGGGGATTCCAAGGTGGTAATGGGCTGATTGAAAAACCGTGAAGATGCTATATGGTGCTACAAGAATGAAATGAAGAAATTTAATTGGTTGACAAGAAATATATTGGTTTTTATACAAAGGGTGAGGAGATCAACAAATACTTTGGCTGATGTGTTATCCAAACAAGGGGTAAATAGGAAAAAATTGTTTTGGCCTCAACTTTGATTTCTATAATTTATTCCTAGTTCACTTGTAATCTTCTAGGAGGGGCCGCACTTCGCGCCTCTCTATGGGATGTCGTACAAAATTACAATTATAATCCAGCTTGTGAATTAATAAAATTTTACTATTACTCATAAAAAACATATTCATTCTATTATATATATATTATATACATTAATATATATTATTAATAATGCAATTAAACTTAATTTATACTTTGATCTGGTTTCTAAAATTTACAAACCCGACTAAACCAGAAAATTAGTATATGCTATCAACCAAATCAAAAGAACCAAGCCGCCAATTTAGTTTGGTTTTGTGCTGTTTGATGGCGTGCATAAACTTTCATTTGGGTGAAACCGGATTCAGTAAGTGCAAGGTCCGTTCTAACAACCTTTATAGTCTTGCGTCGGGAATATCTCCCATGAAATAAAACACAGAAGTACGGAGATGTTCCCAATGCAAGGCTGTAAAGTTCAAACGAGTCTTGCATTGATTGAATCTCTGTTTGGGTAAAGAACTCACCAATATTGGCATGTGTCTTTGTGGCTTTTTTTTTTTTTACACATTAAATAAAATATAGGGTAAATTTCTTAAACTACCCTTATGGTTTAGCAAATTGAGTAAATGTACCCTTACTATTTGAAAATTGATTAATACTACCCTTAGTGTTTCTGACAATTAACTAATACTTCCCTTCCCGTTAAGGTTCCATCATAAACTGCTTACATGTGCCATCACATGATTATTATAATTTAAAAAATACCCAATTTACCCTTTTCTGTTCAAAAATACCCTTTTTGTTTTAGAGAGACAATTCTGGTATTAGCTTGAGAGGGAGAGAGGGAGGGGGCTCAAAGTTGGTTATCTCTGACACCGGCACCGGCATCTGCATCAATGTATCAACATGAGAAGGAACGAAATGAGAGAATGTTTCTCTCTCTCTCTGTGCTTGGTATGCTGCCTTTTGTGCATTCCCTTCTCTTGGAAGACCCTGCGGGATTGACTGGTTTGTAGGAAGAGGAGCCATATTGGAGAAATACTCATTTGACACGACCCCCCACTCCAATGGCAAGCTATGAGCAAGCGGTAGGTTTTACTTTAAGTGCAGAATTCCCTATAAGAAGCTCCATTAGTTTACCTGGTGCAGGAGCAGGCCACGCAAGAAGCAATTTGCTTTAGAGCTCTCTTACCAATGTAAAAAAAAAAGAGGACTTGAACACATTCGAGAATGGACAATAAGACAAAATGATCACAGACTTTTGCTCTCCTCCTCGTTTTAGCCTCTCATCCAATGGGTAACACTCCTTAATGATCCGACCCTGCTCAAGATTGAACCTAATGATACAAAAAGCGACACCCCATCGCTTCAAAGATTTTGGGTCAACCTTACAACCGGATTCTGTCTTCAACAAGAAAGAAGGAGACCAACTCATCTCACTTCAGTCTAACACCATATATCATCGATTGAATACGTTGACAGGATTTAATAGAAGACCTAATCCTAACATCTTTGGTTACCTATTAAAAACGTTATGGGTTTTGAACGTCTCGGAGGGTTCGCAAGATAAGATCTAAGGAGGGTGTTTTGTTTACCTGAATCAATGCTTCAATCAAGATCGGAAAACAAAAGCTCGACAATGGATCAACTACAACCACAATACATGAGAAATGCCCTTTCTTCTTCTTTTTCTTCCGTAGAAATGGAGATTGTGGCAACATGCTCACTAAAATCACTGGCAACAGCGGTAACCACCGACGAAGAACAGCGTGGATCTGCCCTTCTCCTTTTTTTTCCTGTGCGTTTTGGCCGGACCAAGCAATAGATCGAGCAGCGGCGGATCTCCCCTGTCGTCTTGTTGAATCTCTCCTAGAGCCGACAGATTCGCCGCTGCTCTCCATCGCTTGGTCTGGCCAAAACACAGCAAAACAACGGCAGATTTCCTGTGTTCTGTTACTTTGTCCGTGAACCCAATAACGATGGAAAAAGGAGAGGGAAAGAGAGAGGCCAATGGGGAAAAATAATGAGAGAGAAAAATAAGGATTGAGAGAGAAACAGATTTAAAGGGTAAAATAGTCATTTTATCTTTTTGTTAACGGAAAATTAAGGAATATTAATGATAAGAGAAATATTAGTCAACTATCAATAGAATTAACATTAATCAATTTTCAAACAATAATAATACACTTAAGTCAATTCACTAAACCATAAGAGAGTAGTTTAACAAATTTACCCTAAAATAAATTTGCATTTCGTTTGGTAGAGTACTGGATCTGATTCGTGTGAATATACCTGTTCCATCCATCCAATTGTATAAGGTTCGAATTCAGAATTTCAGATTGCCTTGTTCGGTTCGTATTCGAATTCGAATCGGATAACCGGATCATTTTATAAACCATTTGTTTGCAGCCCTAGCCCCGTATTGATTACAGGCGGTCAGGGGGTCGTTACTCCCAATTTTACGATCTACAACCCTCGCAAATGCAGTGAAGTCTAAGGTTATCTGTGTCGAATTGCTGACACTTCCTCGTCGTCACGGTGGAGTAGGTTTTGGTGTTCACTTCTCCACTTTAATGGCGAAGAAGTACGTACGAGAGAATGTTCCTCTTTCCAGATTCGGCGTTTTGGTCGCGCAGTTAGAATCAATAGTAGCTTCTGCATCTCAACAACCTCCAGATGCTCTGCTCTGCTTCGATCTACTTTCGGATCTTATTTCTTCCATAGACGAAGAACCTAAGGTGAACTTTTCTGTAATTCATCTGTTTCGTACACCCAACTTATTCGGATCCGAAATTCTTTCAGCTTTCCATTTGGAGTTTTCGCCATGATCCAGTACAGGTGTTTGTTTAACATCTGTACTCGATTCCATTGTCAGAAGGTGATTTGGAAATTTATCAATTTCAGGAATCCATCATCCTGTGGCAAAGGAAATGCGAGGATGCTCTGTATTCATTGCTCATTCTTGGGGCTCGTCGGCCAGTAAGACATTTGGCATCATTGGCAATGTCGAGAATTATATCTGAGGGTGACAGCATTTCGGTATACTCTAGAGTAAGCAGCCTCCAAGGCTTTCTCTCGGACGGGAAAAGAAGCGAAGCCCTTCATGCTGCTGGTTAGTACCTGTATTAAGAACTGTCGTTACGCTCTTTATTCTCGCATTTTTTTAATTGCGAATTGCCTGTGAACTTCTTATATAAAACCTTACTCTATGTTTTGGAGGAGTTTTATGTTTTAAAATGTTCATGCCTACCCCCTCCTAAAATCTTTCAAGCCACTAATATGGACACAAAACATTTCATCAACTTGACCACTCCAGAAAATATTCTTTATCCACCCTGTTGTTTGTTGTCTAAGTGTAGGATTTCAATCATTTTACATCATGCCAGAACCATGGCCTTGACGTCAATTACACCCTACACGATTGTTACGTCATTGAAAGATAAAGTTGGTTGGGATTGGGAGCTCTGTTGTCAGTAAATAAATGCTTTTTTTTTTTTAACAAGAAGGAGAGAACTATACAGAGAATGCAAAATTAATACCTGAAAACTCCTGCTATCTTTAAGCCCTTTTTAAAATGGATAACCATTAAACTAAAAGCCAATCCCAGCCCATGGATACCCTTGGAAATGGGCACAAGCCTAAAAACATCCTTTTTAATTTTCTGTTACCGAAGGCCCAGCAATAGTCTTTTTCTACATCTAGTGGATGTATCTAAAGAGACAAATCCCAACAAAAAAAATTACATTTCTAACTTCAAAACATCTTCTTGGCCAAGATGTGAATGTATATGCTAGCCTCATCGATATTGAGTGAGAGAGACAACAATGATCTCTTATCAGTTTGAAGGAAATATTTTTGTTGTTTATGAGAAATGAAGGAAGAAAGTGACAAGGTTGCAATGTAGAAGTAGATATGTAACGTTTCCGTTATAATACTTGCAAGTTGCAACATGATACATCCATTTAGCACAACATATTCCATTATGGATAACGTGATCAACCATTAAAATCTTATGAAGCATTATTGGGCAAATGAAACCCCAATTGTTTAAACCATATTTCCTCGAACAATTTCAAATTGGAGACCTTTGTTTCAGTTGACTCTCGTGTGATCTAATAGAAGGCTCTCTTCCATTGCTTGAAGACATGCATCTTCTAATCACTAAAGCATGAGGTCAACTGGCGAAGTTTTCTAATATGGAGGAAGTGTTTGTAAGAGATCAAGTTTTCTAGTTGGATAGATGAATCAAGTTTTCCAATCATGGTATCTTCTAATCACTAAAACATGAGACTAAGTTTTCCAATTGGGTCCAAAAAATGCCCAATCTCTTCCTTGATAAACTGGCATAAATTTGTGGCCAATGTGCATGGTAGAGGAATGGATGGGGTGCTGAATTATCTATTAGAGAAACATTGGAATCCCCTTGAGGGCAGGAAAGGTCTGCAAGTGGGGGAGGTGGCATTTTGGTTTCAGAACTTTCTGATATAGTTTGCAGATTCTTGTCACATTGTCTTTCCTTGAATACAATTGTTGGGCATGCTCCCAAATTTCCTTGGCAGTGTCCAGAAAAATGAGATTAACACTGAGTAACTTTGAGCTTAATGGTAGTTGACTGAGTGTTCATAAAGTCAGATTGCACTACTACAACAGACTTGGAGCTATTACTAGAGGCTTCCATAGGGAGAATAAGACACCAAACAGCAAGGAATAACAACTTCAATCACCAACCACAAGAGGTAAAAAGCACTACAATAACTTTAAGCCCAAAACAAGGTTACTACAGTACCTTTCTACAGTAGTTTGTAGCCCTAAAAACAACAAAACTCACGCCGCCACTTGTAGGGAATCTAAAAAACTCCACACCATAGGAATTGAGTTCCCACACCACAACACACCAAACTAAACAACACACACTGTCGAAAAGCAGCCGCACTACACATTACCTGTACTCATGTCTAGGGCTGCAGCAAGGGAGGCTTAGTACACCATCACAAATACCTTAAACCAGCCAACTTAAGGCACCGAAGCCTCTTTTCTGAAGGGACGATGAGTCCTTTTAAGTCCCTTTTGCTGCTTGTCTCGAAAAGGAGTTCTTAACTCCTAGGGCGCAGAAAAGAGGTGTGAACAGTGACAGTCGAGTTCACAGCTCTGATATGATATTACAACTAGAGAATAAAGGGAGAAAAGAGGAGAAAAAGAAGGGAAAATGGTCGAGAAAGCTGTCTTGTACAGTAGGGAACAAGAAACAAGGAAAATAAGAGAGAGGAAGGGTCTAAAGGAACTAGTTTCTTCTCCTTATTGACCTGCACTGTTATTCGCTTCTTTAGAACATGCCAAAGTTAAAAAATGCCCCTGTTAAGTGATTCTTAACAGGGGAAATACAATTCTATATTGAGAGACTAAAATGCCTCTTATGAGCATACATTTCAACAATCTCCTCAAGGAAGTCTCAGTCCACAAGATAAGCATTAGCTGAATCCCCTTAAATGACTAGAGACGATTTCTGATTGTTTTGTTACATAAATGCATGCCCATTTGGAGGGCTTGCACCTCAGCCTCAGAAATCAGCATCTCCAAGGGGGTGTTATTGAAGGCCAGAAAGGTAGTTTCTATAACTTATAAGAAAAGAGGTTGCTTCCATATGTCTTGAGTAAAACTCCTCCAATACTGGTTGGACCTTGGTTGCATCTTCAGCTGTTTGAAATCTCCATTTTGGAGTGAGATGGGTTACTCTCTATAAGGTGGTTCTCAAGGTGAGGTCTAGAGAATTTCAGGTGGGTTCTTTTTTTGGCCAGTAATCAATGGAATTTCATTTCATTATAAGGAAGAAAAATAGTACAGATTAAGATCAATTTTAGACATATGAGAAGCAAATCTTTTCAAAAGTTACAAAATTATTCCAATCTGCCCACAAAAGTTGATCCCTATGTACCACCCCTTGTTTTGCCAAAGTAGCAGCCATCCCATTTTCTGTTCTCTTGACCCACTTGAAGCTTGCCTCGGGATCCTTTACTAAGCTCTTTATTTCTCTAATTAGATGTCTGAACTTCCACACACCTGGATTGCTGTCATCCATTCAGGAAATTACTAATTTTGGATCACCTTCTATTTCCAAGTTCTTAAACCCCTGCTGTTTTGCTAGTTTCAGGCCTTGTAGTAAGTCTGTTATTTCTTCTCTTGCCAAGTCCCCAACTTCTATCAGTCCTGAAAATAGGGTTTTCACTTTCCCTTCATCGTCCCTGAACCATCCTCCTATTCATGACAGCCCAGGATTTCCTAAAGAGTTTCCGTCAAAATTTCAGGTGGGTTCTCCCTCAAATTGTTGCTTGAAATTCCTATAAATTCATCAATGGTTAACATCCAAGATAGGAGGAAAAGAACTGTAGTGAGAATGGGCCGAATGGGCCTCAGTGTTCTTTATTTCTTTTAGGTAGTATTTAAAAGTTATGTTTCTTAGTCATGGGCCTTCTTTTATTTTCTTTAATTATTTCTTTAGTACTCAAACTTGGAATTATTAATAAAAGTGATGAAAGGGGGCTAGAGAGAGAGGTCTGAATTCTTCTTTTCTCTCTTCCCTTCTTTTCTTCTTCCACAACCTATTGCTGAGACTTCTTTCTTCTTTTTTCTCTTTCTATCTTTTCTTCTTTTCTTGCATTATCTGAATCACTGTAGGTGTAATTCAACTTGGTATCAGAGCAGGTTCTCACTTTTGACTTTTTTCTCCTTTCTTTGCCCATACATAGTGTGTATGGAGAACTGATCGGTTAATCAATATGCATCCCAGTTAGGAAGGTTTTTGGAGAGTTTTGTGGAGGTTTTTCATCCTTAGTTGAAGCCCAGGACAGGTTCTTGGAGCTTTTTCTTGAAAATCCTAGATAACTGGAGAAAACTTGTTATAGGTCGTAAAGATAGTTTTAACCAGGCGCTTTGAGACCAGAGGTAAGCCTTTTGATTTCTATTAGGGGCAGTTTTGGTTGGATTGGATTTTGGAACCTCTGGAAGGGTTGGTTAAAGTTCTATCTTTCTTCCCATCCCATAGGACCCTGTGAAACCCTAATTTTGGAGGGTTGAAAGGTTGGTCTTTGCTTAACACAGTAAATCTAGCCTAGTAAAGCTCTAATTTGATTTTTGTTTGCATCCGTTTACTCAATGGTGCAAACTGGAGGAGAGACCAAATATTCCACAGATTTCGGGTTTGGACATGGTGGGTTAGTGGAGAATCTTTTTGGGGCTATGACTACTATGAAGCTAGACGGGACCAGTTATTTAGCTTGGTCTCAATCTATTAAGATACATGTGTGTAGTAGAGGAAAATGGAGTTATATTACTGGGAGCAAGAAGAAACCGGAGGAGGATGATCCTACCTATGAAAGGTGGATGTAGGAAAATTACACAGTAGTGGGTTGGTTAGTGAAATCTATGCAACCACACATTAGTAAGCATTACTTGTGGATGGAAACTGCAAAAGAAATGTGGGATAGTGTCACAGAGACCTATCCCCAAAAGCTTAATGTTACTTGGGCCTATAAATTGAAGCATGATGTGAATAATCTTAGATAAGGGGAGAAACCCTTAGCAGCCTACTTCTCTTTGCTGAAATCTCTTTGGCAAGAGATTGATTTGACGGAGACTGTTGTTTGGGGTTGCACAAAGGATGCAGAAACATATAGGAGGTTGATTGAGAGAAATCGGGTCTTTGAGTTCCTCACCGGACTCAACTCGGAGTATGATATTGTGAGGCAGAATGTTTTAGCAAAGGATGAGGTGACTTTGTCTAGGCATATGCTATGGTGAGCAGTGAGGAGAGTAGAAGACAGGTTCAGCCTGTTGAGTCGCAGGTTGATCACTATGCTAATGTTGGGATGAAGCCGAAGGTTAACACTGGGAAGAAAGATGTTATCTATGAATACTGCAAGAAGCCTAAACACACTAAAGACACATGTTGGAAGCTGTATCCAGAGCTCGTTCCTGCCAAATTCAAGAGAGAAAATGGTGGAAAAAGGTGGAAATGCAAATGTAGCCACCTCTTCACAAGGCCAACAAGGACAGGGTGGAGAGAAGTCAATGGGAGAACAGCTTGCAGCCGCTAGGGCTGAATATGAGAAGTTTGGC